GATACCTTTGAATTATAGTGTTGGCAAAGAGTATTTAATATATCACAGACTGCCAGAAGAATGAACAAATCTGTCTTGGAAGAAGTATAGCCACAATGTTCCTGAGAAAGGATGATGGTGAGACCTTGTATCAGGAGGGACCAGTCCCTGGAGAAGGCCATCATGCTTGGTAAAGTAGAGGGTCAGTGAAAAAGAGGAAGACTCTCAATGAGATGGACTGACACGGTGGCTGAAATGATGGGCTCCAAGCATAGCAAAGGTTGTGGGGGTAGTGCAGGACCAGGCAGTGTTTCATTCTGTTGTACACAGGGTCGCTACGAGACCCTCCTGACTCAGTGGCATCTAGCAACAACAACCGAGTTAACCTTTTCAGAACAAAGATAATACCCTTACATACTTAAAAAAAAAAAACAAAACTTTGAGTGACACCTGTGTATAACATTTATACTCCTTGGCATTGCTGAACGTGACAGTGAAGTTTCAGCTCTCACTGTGAAGCATGAACCTGAGCAGTGCCCCAAGTTGGGGTAAAGTGGATTAGGGGAAGACAGGGAAAGCAGCCATTGCCTTGGAAACATGAGGTTAAAGACTGACAGAGGTGACTAGCAGGGCCTGGGGACTTAACAGTTTATTTGGGTAAGAGATGTCTGCCTTCTGCAGGTGGGAGAAATAAGGACATCTAGGTTAGATTCCTTTGTGTTTCAGTGCATAAAAATGATCTTGCTTGGTACCTGTATGTGGCTAGGTCTCCCAGTATGGGGTCTGTGTGGAAGGAAGAGGAATTCTAGAGACAAAGGTGTCCCCCAGAAATGAATGAGTGGGATGGGGCTCTGCAGAATAAAGATGGCAGTTCGAGAGTGGGTGGAGGTAAGAGAAGTAAGGGTAGAGTTCTGCTTATACACCTAAGAACAGAGTCAGCTGACCATTTAAGACTGTGAGGAATTCTTGAAACTTTTCAATATTTTACTCTCATCTTTTCTCTTGTCTTTACCCACAAGCTCAAATCCATTGTTGTTGTTGTTATGTACCGCTGAGTCAGACTCGACTCATAGCAATCCCTCCTTGGGTTTCTGAGACAGATTACTGTGGAAGTAGATTGCCCCATCTTCCTTCGGAGGAGTGGCTGGTGGGTTTGAACCGCCAGCCTTCTGGTTAGCAGTCAAGTGCCTTAGGCACTACGCTACCAGAACTCCTTAGAAAACCCTTTTTCAACATGACTGACCCTAAAGTACCTATTGTTTCAGAGGCTCTCTCCCTGCTCCTATGCTCTGCCAGGTAGGACGACTCCTGGTTCTCCAAATATCCCATAGGCCTCCTATCTTTGCCTTTTCTCAGGTTGATCCTTCTGTCTGGAGGGCTCTTCCCCCAACTGTTCTATGACTACTTCTACTTGCCCTTCAAGGCTCAGCTCAAATGCCACTTTCCCTCAGAATTCTTCCATGAGTCCCCAGGCATAACTGAACCCCACTTCTGAGATGGGTATGACAGTAGATACATTGTATTAGGCAGTGCTTGTTTGGATTTGTTTCAAGTTCCATAATATGAGCTCTTTGAGGGTAGTAACAAGTAGCCATCACCACTGAGTTGAATCCAACTCATGGCAACCCTTGTGTATCAGAGTAAAACTGTGCTCATCAGGCTGTCAGTGGCAGATTTTTTAGAAGTGGAACCCTAGGTCTTTCTTCTGAGGCCTCTCTGGGTAGACGTGACCCTCCAGCTTTTGGTTAGGATCCAAGCACATTAACTGTTTGCACCACCCAGGGACTCCAAACACTACTGTATTCATCTTGGAAACCTCCAGGGCTGGCACAGAGTTTGGCATGTAATAGGCCCACAAGGAATGTGTACTGAATGAATAAAATGTGTGTGTGAAATGTCTGTATTCCATAGCAACCCTTATTTTCATAGCTGCAAGTGTGCTGAACAATTCCTGAGTGGGGAGGCCTGGCGTTCCCTTCTGAATATACCAATGAGACAGTGACCTCGTCTTGGCAGTTATTTTCTAATGAGTTTCTCTCAGATGATGTGTCTGCCCTGGCCCTCTTCAATCTTCTGGACAAAAATGCTGGGGTTCTGGTAACTGCAGGCCCAGCTTCAGCCAGCTCCTGCCACAATCAGACCTACAGAGCTGCCCCTCCCCCATGTGCTCATACCATGACACCCCTGAGGGGCTGTCTGAGCTCTTCCACTGGCTTTCTGCCTCGTTCTTGAGTAGTCCCTTAGTTCAGAGAAAGGGAACGGAACTAGGCATTTGACTGCTAACCAAAAAGCTGGCGGTTCAAACCCACCAGCCACTCCTTGGAAGGAAGGTTGGCCAATCTATTCCCCTAGTGATATGGCCTAGGAAACCCAAGGAGGGGTCGCTATGAGTTGGATCCAACTCAATGGCAGTGAGTTTGGTTTTTGGTTTTATCCTGTCCCCATATTCAAAGGCCAAAAACCAAGTCTTTAGGTGGCACAAATGGTTAAGTCCTCAGTTGCTAATGAAAGGCTGGCTGTTTGGGTTCACCCGGAGGTACCTAGGGAGAAAGACCTGATGATCTACTTCCAAAGCTCAGCTGCTGAAAACCCTGTGGAGGAGTGTGCACCTCCCTGGTGTCGCTGTTCCCCTTATGAGCCTGTCTGTTGTGTGGCTGAAAGTTGAGCCACGGGGATAAGTTCAGTTCCAGGCTTGAAGAGTGACAAGGGTCAGGGTCCTGGGGGTTCCAGTATGAATTATTGAACAGAAAACCAATTTGTTCTGTTACCTTTCATTCAAATCACAATAAAAAGTTAAAAAGAAAACTATGCAGCCCAGTTCTACTCTCATACACACGAGGTCACCATGAGTCGGAATCAACTCAACAGCAATGGGTTGATCTGTCGTATGCCAATTCTTGACACTTTACATTACTTATCTTATCCAGACCCTGTCATAACCCTCTGTGGCTGGTATTTTCAGCCCCATTTAACAGGTAGGGAGGGTGGTGCCCAGAGAAGTTATAGAAGTTACCCAAGTCTTCTGGCAAAGAAGTGGCTGAGGCAAGCTAAACCCAGGTCTGCACAGGGACAGGGCCCATGCTCTCTCCACCATCCTGGATGGGAACTTGCTCTGAGCCCAGGCTTACCTGCATGGTCCCTGATACCTTTCCTGGCACTGGCCCTTTAAGATCAAAGGAGGAAACCTTTTTTTTTTTAATCACCCTGAACAGTGGTTTTGTAAGTTTGTTGTTGCTGTTAATTTCCCAAACTTTTTGCAAACCCAGAACCCAGTGTAAGAAACAAGGAGGCTCTCTGGTTGAGGGAGTGGGGATGCGGAGCCCTGCCTCTCAAGTCCCCTCTCCCTGCAGTTGTCCAAGACACATCTATGGACTGACAGAGCTCTACAGTACACAGGTTTAGACTGCTGCTCTGGAAGACATTCTTCTGGGGACTTCCCTTTTAATGGCTTCCTCTCCCAGCCATCGGTGAACAGTAGGGCTAGACAGCAGTGCTGCTTGGATCTCCTCTGCTCTGTCTGTCTCCAACCCCCCACACCAGCCCAGCATGGGTGGGCCTATAGCCTTTGGAATCTGGAGGAGACAAAGAAGGGAGACAAAACGTCCCTGCCTTGAGCATCCTCATGTCTGCATTTTCTGGCTAGCCTGTGGGCTTCCACTTTGTTTTCTTCTCCTTCTTCTCTCAGGAATCACATTTGCTTTGGGTGTCTACATGGCATGGACAGAGGGACCCAGCCCCTGGGAGGACCCTAAGGCCTATGCTCTGGTGCTAGGACACAGATGGCAGCTAAGCCATGTCACTGACACATGCTCTGCAGTGGCTCCTAGTCCTGTTGTCTAACTTACTGTACCCCAAAGCCTCTATGGGCTGGCTCTGTATTTGGCAGGGGGGATGATTTGAGGCCTTCAGCAATGGCTCTGTGTGTCAGCTACTGGTGCACAAGGGTCTCCCCAATTGGATCCACTATCTCTGGGTCTCTGTTTGCTTTCAGGGCCCAGAAGCAAGGCACTGCTTTGATGGTTTGGGCTAATTTAAGATGGCACGAGACCAGCTGTGCCTGATCTGACCTGAGCCTCAGTGTGCTCTGCCTATCTGTGTGTGGACTGGCCAAGCTGGAAACTGGTTCCTTTCTACCCAACTGCCACTTGTCCCCATTCCAGTATTTTAATTATGGCATTACCAAAAACTACTATGTGCCTTATAAATGTGATGCTGATGTTCTCTTTTGATATTAATTCACATTAATTGCCTCAGTTGATACTGATACCCAAACTGAAATCTGGCAGAAGAATCTTGACTGGCAATCCTGATAGTATGCTTAAGTGGAGGCAGGCAACAATGGGGTCAGGCTGTGTGAACAGCCCCAGAAGGATTCTGGTAGGTGGGTGTGGAGATCTCATTAAACCCAATAGCAAGGCTGACTCTTAGGGTGCGTGTGGTTAGCTCTGGTCCCAAGAGATGAGGACAGAGATGTGAAGCACCAGAAAAGTCAGATATGGCAGGTGGAGACAGGCGTGTTTAGAGAATGGATCACATGATGTGAATAGCAGCATAAAAGGCTGCAAAACAAAGTAAGGTGAAATAGAGTTAGAAAAAGAGGAGAACAGCAGGGCAAGAATGACTCAGGAGAGCTAAAGTGACATGGACGAAGGTCTCGAGAGAACAAAGGTCAATGAGAGGAGTGAGGCAGGACACAGGAGTGCTTTGGCTAAAGATAGGGCAGAAACACGATACAGCGGTGACTATGACATGAGAGGGAAGCAACATGGACAGGTGCTGGGGGGGCAAGGAGTGAGCAAGGATGTGCCTAGAAAACCCCCTTGGTGGGGCTCAGGGTCATGGTCACAGCCAGGACAAAGCTCTGGAAGGTGAAGGGAAAAGAGGAGCCAAAGAGAAGCTTTAGGGGAAGCTAGGATACTTGAGAAGGCTTGAGGATGGGTGGCTTGGGAGGGGCCCTGGACATGCCCTCTGGTCCCTGATGACTCCGCTCCAGAGGCAGTGAGGGGGAGTTGTGCAGGTACCTGCATGATGCGGACGTAGTCGGTGCGGTGCAGCTCACTCTCCTTGACCACCTTCTTCTTGAGCGTGGCCAGGTTCCTCTCCAGATGCTCTCGCTGCCGGGCATACTCCTGCTGCAGGTCTGTGTTCAGTCCTGCGATCTCTACCTGATGGGGCCCAGGTCATATTCAGTGAGGAGTGAGACCTCTAGAGAGACAGATGGGGGAGAGGAGGCTGAACTCACCATATCTGCACGCTGCACATACTTCTCAAAAAGACCTCGGACCTTCTCCTTCAGCAGCCGGGGCTCCTGGATGTATGCCACGCAGTTGTGCAGGTCCGTCTTAAACCGTTTAACCAGAGCTTCCAAGTCCCGCTCCTGCAAGCAGAGGCATTTACTTCTCAGTACCACAGGCCCTTCTCCAGGTGCAGAGGCAAGGACCACAGGCAGAGGCGAATGGCAACAGAAAGGGGTAAGAGACAGCTCATCTGGGACTTACAGCTGACCACCAGGGACCATACTGGGCATAGAGACCAAGGCAAGCACACAGCTGACAGGTGGAGGCACGAAATGTTGTGTGGACCTGTCCTGGGCTGGGCACCTGGTCTGGACATCTTACATGGTGCTTCCTTCTTGAGAGGCCACTCAGACTGCTTCCCTGGTCTTAGATTTATCCCAGGACCACAGAACTGAAATGCTGAAAGGAAGTTCAAGTGGTCACCCATATTCCTTTTTGAGCCAAGATAGATGGGCTTGCCAATCCCTGAGCCGAGGCTTCCACGTTCCTCTCATAAGCTCATTTGGTGGTCCCTTCCTGGCAGTCAAGAGGACTGCTGGGAGCTGGTGGGTGTTGTGGGCTGAATCGTGATCCCCCAACATATGTGCTGGAATCCTAACTCCTATACCTGTGGATATAATCCCATTTGGGAATAGACGTTTGTTATATTAATGAGACCGTATCAGTGTAGGGTATGTCTTAAACCTATTGACTTTTGATATATAAAAAGAGTAGATTAGAGCCAAAGAGAAACAAGCACAAATGGGACAAAGGTGCCACATGGAGGCTGCCAAGGAACTGAAGAATGTTGGGATTACAGAACCTGAGACAAGATTTTCCCCCAGAGTGAAAAGAGAGTGAGTGCTTCCCTTTGATCTGTCGCCCTGGATTTGGACTTCTAGCCTCCTAAAGAGTGAGAAAATAAAATTTCTGTTTGTTGAAGGTATTCATTTGTGGTATTTCTGTTACAGCAGCAGCACTAGAAACTAAGACAGTGGGGGGGGGATCACAAAACTGGGCAGATTGATTCATCTGTAAACTTGGTCTCGATCTTCTCTTCCATCATGCTTTCTCTAACACTCATCTGCTCCTACACCTGATTGAGAGAAAGCCTCTTCTTTCTCTTCCCTCCCACAGACCTTTACACATACTCCAACATTTTCTACCTTGCTTTCTAATTATTTTGTTCATGACCCAAATCACTTACCATACTCTTACTCTGTAGAGGGCAAGATCCCTGCAGCTTTTGGCATTACCTAATAGAGTTAATGCTTTATGTGGTGGATGGAAAAATTCAATCTGATTCAATAAACAGGGTGCTGACCAAGCCCTGGTCCAGACCTAGTTTTTTGTACTGGCTCTGTATGTACTAACCAGCATGGGTCCTGGGTGAAGTTTCTTACCCTCCTAATCTCTCTGCTCTTACTTTCCTCATTCATCACATAGAGAGAGTAGCATAGATGATCTTTGAGGTCCTTCTCTAGTTCCTTTGCCATCGAATTGATCTGACTCATGGCAACTCCAATTGTGTGAGTAGAGCTGTGCTCCACAGGGTTTTCAATGGCGGATTTTTTGGAAGTACATTACTAGGCCTGTCTTCTGAGGTGCTTCAGGATGGACTCAATCCTGCAACCTTTTGGTTAGCACCTGAGTGCATTACCTCTCTGCAGCACCTAGGGACTCTGAGGTCCCTTTCCAAAAAGGAAACTCACTGCCATCAGGTTGATTCTGACTCATAGTGACTCCCACTGGGTTTCTAAGGCTGTAAATCTTCACTGAGCAGCCAGTAGGTTCCAACCACTGACTTTTTGGTTAGCAGCCAAATGCCTTAAACAGTGTGCCACCAGAGCCTCAGCAATTCTTTGGGAGTCAAAGCCTTTACCCAGAGACTACAAATGACCTTCTGAGTATGCTCTTTCCCAGGCCAACGAGCCCAACTGCTTTGAACATTCTTACAAAGAGGGCTTCTCACCCTCCAAAGACATTTCATAGTGTCAGATGGATCCAGTCATGTAAATCTGCATGGGCCTGAAATCAGGCAGGGCTGTGAGCAAGTAGTGAGTGTGAATTAAAATGGGAAATGGATCTCTGCACTGGGCTGGCTCTGTCTCTTCCATGCCAGCTGCCCTGTGCAGAAAGTGCCAGATACTGAATCCAGGAACTGCCAGGCTCAGAAAATCCTCACACCTTCTGTTTCTCTTTGCGCATCTCTTGATCAGTGGCTCTTAATTTCTGCCACAATTTTGCGATGTTCAGCTCCAGTTGCGTATTCTGCTTATGGAAACGCTCCAGCTCAGCTTCCATCTATAGAAAACAAGGGAAAAGAGTCAAGAACAAGAAACTTAAGTGGATGGAATTATATTTGGGAACTCTAATCTTTTGGTTGGAACATTTCCCAGGTACCAGGGTATTTCTTTTCTAGTTCCCACCATGTCTTCTGGAATGAAACATCTTCTTTTGTGATCTTAAAAGCCCTAGTCACCCTCCCCTCTGACCTGATATGCCACACACACACCTGTTATGTTAACCCATGATCACGTGTTTATATGGCTAGCCTATAACCAGCTTAGACCTTTCCTCTCAGTTTTCTGTCTTCTTCAACTGTGTTGCTGTTGTTAGCTGCTGCTGAGGCAGCCCCGAGTCATGGTCTCATGGAACAGAACCAAATGCTGCCTGTCCCTGTGCCATCGTCAGGACCGTTGGTGTGCTTGAGTCCACCGCTGCAGCTGCCATGCAGTCCATCTCACTGAGGGTTTCCTCAGTTTTGCTCATCTTCTACTTTACCAAACATGATGTTCTTTTCAACCACATTGTTGTTGTTGTTGTTGTCATGTGCTGTCAAGTCAGACCCGACTCATAGTGACCCCTCCTTGGGTTTCTGAGGCAGTATCACTACGGAAATAGATTGCCCAACCTTCCTTCTGAGGAGTGGCTGGTGCGTTTGAACCGCCAGCCTCTGGCTAGCAGTCAAGTGCCTTAGCCACTACGCTACCAGAGCTCCCTTCCACCACATAAATTGCTTTGTTTCCCTGAATTCCCAATGAATTGATAAATCCCAAATACTGTTACCTCAACTCTACATGAGGGAGTGTTCTCTAGAGAAGCACCTTCTTTGCCTACTTTGTGAAGTTGTGAGTGAATCCTGACCATCCAGGGCCAAGAGCCAGCAGAGTCAATTCTCAAGCACAACATCTTGAGGGACTAACATGTAGGCAACCCTCATCAAAAACATAAAATAGGGAAGAGGAAGCCAAGAAGAAATCTTAGCCTCATTGTTTTAAAAAGATCTTAAAAAGTACAACTGAGGAGAGTGTCCCACCTTCAGTAGGGAGGAAAAAAAAGAGAGACTAAAGGTACGAGGATTTCAGTGAGCTTCTGAAAGATGTATCCAAAAATAAAAAAACAAAACAAAACTCACTGCTGTCAAGTCATATCCGACTCATAGTGACCCCTCCTTGGATTTCCAAGATGGTATCACTATGGAAGGAGATTGCCCATCTTCCTTCCAAGGAGTGGCTGGTGGGTTTGAACCACCAGCTTTCTGGTTAACAGTCAAATGCTTAGGCACTATGCCACCAGAGCTTCTGAATGACATACACACATATACACAGACACATATACATATATTTATATTAATTGCTGCATTTGTACTAAGCAAAGAGGTGTGAATGACGACTAGAGCTCCCGATTCAGATGAGATTAGTTGTATGTAGGCCCTTGTTGTTGTTGTTGTTATGTGCCGTTGAGTCAGACCAGACTCATAGCGACCCCTCCTTGGGTTTCCGAGGCAGCATCACTACGGAAGTAGATTGCCCCATCTTCCTTCCAAGGAGTGGCTGGTGGGTTTGAACCGCCAGCCTTCTGGTTAGCATTCAAGTGCCTCAGGCACTACGCTACCAAAGCTCCCATGCAGGCCCTTAGTTGATCTAATTCCTGTCAAAAGCAAAGAAGTGTTTTTTTATACATTGGCAGTTAGGAGGGATGCTCACAAAGGCTAAGTTTACACAAGACTAAAACAGTCAGTTGAAATGGAAAGTTTGTATTAGTTATCTGGCTTAATTAGTTCATTCATTTATCCAATAAATATTTATTGACCATCAACCAGGTATAAAGTGCTGTGCTTTGTGCTGGTTATAGAACAGTGAACAAGACAAACATGATCCCTGCTTGCCTGGACTCTATGAGTGGTGAAAATGCACTTCACATAAACAAACTGTGTTTTATCCCTAACTAATTCTTACTTTTGATGCTACTGTGTACAGTATCATTTTTTAAATTGCCATTTCCAATTGTTATTTCCTGGTATATAGAATACAATTGATTTTTATGTAATGACTTTGTCTCTTGCAACCTTGCTAAACATTTATTAGTTCTTATAACTCTTTTTCTGTAGTCATTAAGATCTTCTACATGTCATTGGCAAATAAAGACAATTTTACCCATTAAAAAAAAAAAAGAAGATGAGGGATGCTTCAGTCAGGTTTGTAGGGGGAACAAGTATTAGTGGACAATGTGGAAAGAGGAGTTTTATACAAGGAGAGGGAGCTCTGGTAGTGTAGTGACTAAGGCACTTGACTGCTAACCAGAAGTCTGGCAGTTCAAACCCACCAGCCACTCCTTGGAAGGAAGGTTGGGTAATCTACTTCTGTAGTGTACCACCTTGGAAACCCAAGGAGAGGTTGTTATGAGTTGGTCAACTCCATGGCACATAACAACAAGAACATACAAAGAGAAGAGCCTGTGCATAGAAAGGAATCAAAGCAGAGCAGCCTAGTAGCTCTGCAGGAGACAAGAGGTTCCCGGTGGCCTTAGAAAGAGCCCACTTGAGTATGGGAGGAGGGGTGGTGGAGGTTGGTCCCCTCCTCCCATTCCTCAAGTGGGAAAGGCTCAAGGGAAAAGGCAGTGAAGTGAGAAGTTTGGCTTTTATCTTGCAAACTCAGGGAGCCATTGCAGGGTTTTAAACAACTAATTTGCATCTTAGAGGGCCTGATGCACAGATCTACTCAGACAGAGTGAGAGTGGAGTCAGGAAGACCAGTCAGGAGCTGCCTCAGCAAGACATTAAGGTATCCTAGCCACTCCTCGGAAGGAAGGTTGGGCAATCCTACTTCCACAGTGATACTGCCTCGGAAACCCAAGGAGGGGTCACTATGAGTCGGGGCTGACTCGACAGCAAACAACAACAACAAAACAAGACTGAGGGATGGCAGTGGGAAGACAAAAGGGACATCTTCAATGTGCAGGGTTCCTGAAGGCCACATTTGAGTGTCAACAACTGACTGTATCCTTCTCTACAATCTTAAAATCAGCAATGACAGATTAGATTAGTCCTATAAGGAGCTCTGGTGGCCTCGTGCCTAACGCACTTGACTGCTGACCAGAAGGCTGGCGGTTCAAACACACCACCACTCCTTGGAAAGGGTTGGGCAATCTACTTCCTTAGTGATACTGCCTTGGAAACCCAATGAGGGTTGCTATGAGTCAGAATCTACTCAATGGCAGTGAATTTGGGTTTTTTTGTTTTATAAAGGAAGTGATACAGGAGTGTATTTTTTACCTTTGCTCCTTTTTCTTTTTCAGCCTCAAGCCACTCTGAGATTAAAAATAATCTGTTTTATAGAAAAATTGTGAAATATGTCAAATTTGAGTAGCTGACAGAACCAGGAGACCAGCATAGTATATGGGGATGAACATCCCTTTCCTGGTGTGGCAATGCCATCTACTTTTCCACGTGTTACTCATCACATTCAGTGGCTCTTTTTTTTTTTTTTATTGTTATTTGGGTGAAGATTTGCGGAGCAAATTCACTTTCTATACAGCAGTTTACATACACTTTGTCTCATGTCATTGACCACAGTTTACCACAATGCAACAGCTCCCCTCCCACTTCCTCTCCATAGTTACCTCTTCCCAGTGTCCATCTCTCCATACACTCCTGCCCCTGAGCTGTCTCCCTGTGCATAAGCAGGCCATGATTGTTCTTTCTCCCATGATTATTCTCTCCAAGGAGTGTATCTACTTGAGGTAAATGTCCAGCTCATAAGCCTGTCTTTTGTTTGGCTGGAAACCACAGGTGTGGGTTCAATTCCTGACCTGAAGGGCAGCTAGGGGCCATAGTCTCAGTGGTTCCACCAGGCTCTATTGGACCAGCAAACCTGGTCCCCGCCTTTTTTTTTTTTCTCCAAATGATTCTGAGTTTTGTTCCACATTGTTCTTCCTCATCACACTCAGTGGTTCTTAATGGAGGGCTGATTTTGATCCATAGGGGACATTTGGCAATGTCTGAAGACATTTTTGTTGTCATACTTTGGGGAGGGCTGTTACTGTCTTCTTGTGGGTACAGACCAGGGATGTTATGAAAGATCTTACAAGAACAGCCCCTCACAACAAAGAATGATCCACCCTAGAATATTGAGAGTGCTGAGTTTGAGAAACTCTGCACTCAAAGAATAAATAAATGAGGGTGAGCTAAAATAACGAAGTTCTGGAGACTCTAGTGTTGGGAAGGAGAGAGGGACCCATGAGGCATTAAAAAGAAGCTGGTTTTTTTTTTTTTTTACAATAATTATAAAAAAGAGAACGAGAGAGAAGGAAGGAAGGAAGGGAGGAAGAAAGAAAGGAAGGAAGATGGGAAGAAAGAAAAAGAAAAAGGAATGAGAAGAAGAAGAAGAAAAAGCTGGAAAAGTATATGTATGGGGAGGTACCTGAATTAGGGAAGTCTTATATATACTTTCATTCACAGAGCATCTCAGCTCTATACATGAGGCTTCCTTTTGGGGAACTTCACAGGAGACCCTCAAGAGGGTGGGCCAAATGTGTCTCTGGGTCACCAGAGGAAGCCCCAAGGACAGCAGCTCCAGAACAGGAGCCTGGCCCAGGTATCAGCGTAGGTACCAACTGGATTAGGAGGGTGTGGCTGTATCCCTGCTGGAAACCAACCTCCTGGTTGCCATTGTTACTGACTGGAAGGTGAATAATTCCTCTGGTGCATTGGGCTTCAAAGCAAGCTGAACTTCAGCAAACAGCAGACCCAACTTTAAATCCAGATGATAACTATGTCAAAAGGGGAGGGAGAAATGGGGCAGTGATTTTCAGGGGCCTGCAACATGCCGACCTTCCAGGTGGGTGGGGTGAAAGGGCTTCACGGGCCTCTGCTCTTTCTCTTGTCTCCTTGGGCTACCATTTTTGGGCCCTAAAGTCACTTGAAAATGGCAAAAGGCCCAGAGGGAAGCATCACTGGGGATGTCATTCTTCTTCCAAGAGGCCAAGGAGAACTGGACTGATCCCCACTTGGCTTCTTTGCTGGGCCTTGAGAGAAAAGGCTTCCCTGCACAGATGAGTTCTACCACGGCTCTTAGGTATCCAGTTTGAGCTGGGCCATCAATGCTCTTTGTTTCTCTTTTACTTATTATCCTTGCTCAGCACAAACAACTCAAGAATAATGGACTGGGGGTAGGAAGTGGGGACAGGAGCCTATTTTGGATAGCGTGGTCCCCAGAATATTAAAAGTGCTCAGGTTGAGAAACTCTGCCCTTGATGAGTGTGAACTACAAATAAACGTGACATCTGAGCTGAGACCTGAAAGATGCAAAGAAGCTAGACATATGAAAATCTGGGGGAAGAACCTTTTAGGTAGAGGGAATAGCACCGCAGAGGTCCTGAGGTGGGAAGAGCTTGGTTTGTTCTGGGAACTGTCAGAAAGCAGGTGGGGCTATAGGAGGAGGAGGAAGCTTTAGGATGATGTTGGAAAGACAAAGGGCAGCTGGCTCATGCAGGGTCTCAAGGACCTTGGTAGGGAGTTTAGGTTTTATTCTAGGTGGGATGGGGTACCATTAGAGGGTTTGCTCCATCCAACCTGTATGCAGAGACAAGACTGCAGGCTGGAGTCAAGTCCAGATGAGAGATGACAGAGGCTCAGACTGAGGTAATGTTAGCAGAGTAGGGCAGGAGTAGTTGGATCTGAGATATCTTTTAGAGAATGAGTAGATAGGTTTTGGTAATAATTTGGATACAGGAGGGGAAGGGAAGGGAAGACTCCAGAAAGACTTGTGAATTTCCATAGTAAGGAAGTGGATGGATCACAGTACTATTTACTGAGAAATGGAAAACTGGGGAAAGGGGAATAATTTTTTTTTTTTTTTTTTTTTTTTTTTTGCGGCGGGGGTGGGGGTGTGTGCGGCGGAATTTAAGAATTCTGTTTTAGACCAGCCATGGACTCACCCTCAGCTGCTCTGCCCAGTAATAGGAGGCTGACAGGTAAACATAGGGCATAAGGAAATGCAATGTGATGGGGCACAGATCCACAAGAGAGGCACTTGTACCCTAATGGACTCTCAGAAGCCCTTGCCCAACTGCTCTTGCTCCTAATCTCTTTCTTCTCTATCTCCATCCTGTTTGCTTCCCAGAATACATACACTTAATTAGATCACTTTCCTGCTCAAGAGGCTTTGATGACTTCCCATTCTTTTTAAGATGAAGCCCAAACACCTTGGCCTGACAAGAGCCCCAGCCAACATTTCCAGTCTGAGGAAAAGTGCTGAACTAGGAGGGGTAGGCTTTCTGGTGAGATAGCCTGAGTACACATTGCCCTCTGGTGGTGGAAGGCCCAACAGCTGTGGTTTTAAGGGCCCAGACCCTACACACTCAGCCCCAAGCCCATCATTTAACTTTTGCACAGCTGAATTCCTGGGTGGACCATGGCTTTTCCTGTAGCACCCTCTGTGGAGTGAAGGCTGCACACATCTGAGAGTGTAGAGCGGCTGGGAGGAGAGCTGCCTTCCATCCCCACAGGCCGGCAGGGGATAGTCAAGAAGGAGACAAAGGATCCCAGAGGCTTCTCACCTCCTGAATCTGTTCCTTCATCACTTTGATTTCATTCTCACGAGGTTCTATTTGCTTTTTCAACTCCTTTATTTTGTAGTCGAGGACAAACTTGAATTTCTCAAGTTCCTGGTTTTTCTTTTTCAGATCATAAATTCGCTTCTCCTGGGGGTTGTGGGTGGGAGATGAGAGAGATGTGAGTGACAGAACATAGCCCTGGTATATGGAATCCCTTTAGGGCAAAGGACATAAATCCTGGACTCTCCTGATTGAGGAGTCCACTGGCTTCTCTCCTCCCTGGGGACACAAATGCTGACTCTCTCCCCACGAGGCTATAGCACTTACTCTTCAGCTTCTGTACCAGGGACTGTGAAGCATTCACTCCAATGCATACATAGGTTGTGGCAGATGGTGCTTTCCTAAGATGGCCCATTGATATCTTTTGTCCCACATGCTCTTCTATAATGTGACCTTTCTGTTTCTCCATCAAAAGGTGGGATTTAATATTCTTCCCCTTGTATCTGGATGGACTAATGGCTCACTTGTTACTAAAGACAGCAGCTGAAATGACAGTCCCAGCTGAATTCTGCTTCTTAGCCATCCCTGCCAAGGTGGCATTCATGTGAATGAAGAAGCCACCTTAGAAGTGGATCTTCTAGCCCCTAGCTGTTTGAGTGATCCCCAGCCAGTAGAGTCTTCCTAACTAACTGAAGCCACAGACCATAGTAGGCAGATAAATCATCCTGTTATATATACACCCTGTCCAAATAAAATTCTAGAAGCACAGAATCTCTGAGCATAATAAAACAGTTGTTCATCATCACTAAGTTTTGGGGTAATTTGTTACATGACTATAGTAATTGGAACATCGGTCTTTCCATCCATCTATCATTTATAGTATGAAGCCCTTTTGCCAAGTATTAAGATTCAATGCCCTCAAGGAGAAAAGACTCTGAGTAAGTGGATGAGTAAACAAATATAACACCATTTAGCGGTAAGTGTTATAAAAAGGAGAGGCATGGAAGGTACTGTGTGGGCTGAGGGTGCTGAAAATAATTTGCTTGAGTGTAAAGTGGTCATTCATAGGGGGAAATGGGATGTAGGGCTCTCAAGGAGGAAGGCAAGGGTTTTGCATGTTGACTTAGTTTGCCATTTATCCCACAGCCCAGGGATTGGGAAACTACAGCCAAATACAGCTCTTAGGCTAAATCTGATCTGCCTCTTGTTTTTTAATTAAATAAAACTGTTGAAATGTAGAAGCTCTGGTGGTGGATGCCTAAGGCATTTGACTGCTCACCAGAAAGCTGGTGGTTCAAACCCACCAGCCACTCTGCAGAAGGACGACTGGGTGATCTACTTCCATAAAGATTTACTGCCTTGGAAACCCAAAGGGGGTTGCTATGAGTCAGAATCGACTCAATGGCAGTGAGTTCGGGTTTTTTTTTTTTTTTTGTATTGAAACGTAGCCACACTCATTCATTTATATTTATATTACAATGGCAGAGTTGATTAGTTGTATCAGAGACCATAGGGGCTGCAAAGCCTAAAACACCACATCTAGCCCTTCACAGTAAGTTTCCTGACCCATGCTACAGGCAATGGGGACCCACTAAAGGATTTGAAGTGAGAGAGTTACATAATGAAGTCTGCAAGCAGGCAAACTATGGGGGATGGATCAGCGAGGTGGTGAAGAGGTAGGCTGTGGGAAGGCAGGCAGGAAGACTGGTTAGGGGGGCTGTTGCTCTTTTCTAGGTCAGGGAGCCTTGACCTCTTTCTGGTTGAAACCCCAGTTTAAGATTCTGAAGAGAGTTTTGTACCTTTTCTAGAAAAATGTCCAGATATCTACATAGACACTTATATGCAGAAATTACATCCAGACACTACCCCATTTAATCCTTGTAAGACCCCTTTGAGATAGTTGTCATCCCCACTCTAAAAAGGCATAGAAAAACTGTCCAAAAGTTCTACGGCTGGTGAATGGATGAGCCTACCCTGGGGCCTAACGATCTGATGCTGAAGCCTGTGCTCTGAACCATTGGTAAATTCTGCCGAAATGAAGGCAGTAGAGGCAGGGGGATGGAAAGGAAGAGGTGGAGTCTAGATTTCTTCAGGACGATGCTAAATTTTCAATATTGAAGTGTATGCCTTGCAAAATGTGGTGTATTGTGTCCTGTTTTGTGAGAAGGGCATCCTGCAAAGTGAGTATTGCTGATGCCAGCTTGCTGGATATCCAGTAGTTATGGGACAACCACAGGACAGTCCCTCTCTGACCACTATGTGGGCAGTGGGGTAGGCATGCTGCCATTAGTCCATGGGGACTCATCACCCTAGGATGCTTAGAGCAGTGAAGGGTGTGGGCCTTGCAGTCAGTCCACTTAGGTTGTCATTCTGAGTCTGTTACTATGATGTGTATGATTTGGGGCAAGATACTTAACCACTCAGAACTTAGTTTCCCGAGCTCTAAAACTGGGTTGCTCAGGCACCCCTGGGTTGTCGGGAGAATTCAGTGTGATGTGCTTATTGCCATTAGCCCAATGCCTAGCACACAGTACCAGTACCACTTGCCACTGAGTCGATTCCAGCTCATGTGTGTCAGGGTAGAATTGTGTTAAATAGGGTTTCCAATAGCTGATTTTTTCAGAAGTAGGTTACCAGTCCTTTCTTAAATGCCTCTTGTTGAACTTGGACCTCCAACCTTTCAGTTATCAGCTGAGTGCACTTCAACTGTTTGTACCACCCACTGACTGTTCATCCCCCATCAAGTTAAATAAATGTGTTCAGAGAAGCCAGGGACCTTCCCTGTCCTAAGATCTGTCCTCATTGACTGGGTCCACCCTAGGCTACAGCGTAGGGAGGGCAGAGGATGAGCCTTCACCTTATCTTGAATTGTCTCGTCTCTTTCCTGGATCTCCCGCTTCAGGCCCTGAATGTCCTTTTCCAGGGACTTAATGACTCCTTGCAGCTTTACCTGCTCTCCCTTCAGGAGCTCAATGTCATTGGTTCGCTCTTCAATCTCCTTCTGCAGGCTGCTGAACTACAGGTACAAAGGCAATAGCAAAGACCAACAATGTCTTTGAATTCATCTCCATTCCTCCCAACTGTCTGTGAATTCAAAAGGGCTCCCCTTCATTGACCAATCGTAATCTGAAGCCCACCCCCCACATGTCTATGAACTGAAAACACTGAAGCATTCAACATGTCTGGGTTTGTAGGAGTAGATTTTTAGCGAATCTGGGACAGTACAGGAATTTCCAGAAAGGTCATCTGTGAAGGCAAGTGGATGATGTAAGATGCTGTAAGATTCAGTCTCATTCCACTTACACGAGAACAGACTGTCTCTGCCTGGAGAGGCTTTAGAGAGCAATTCCTTGAGTGGAACCAGAGGGGCAGCAAAATCTCCCATGGCCACACCAGATCTTGAAAGGCTGGGGGTCCACGCCCCACCAAGGTCAAAGAGATTGGGCTCTGGCTGATGAATCATTTTAGTGATGTCCAAGAAGGGAACATGTGATTGCCTTCTGGACTTACTGGTAGTGTGATTTCTAGCAGAAAAGAACATGGGCTTGCTTTGAACTTTGTCTCCCTAGAACGAAATGCTTTGGGGAAATTATCAATTCTACAAGGATCTGTGAACTGAATCCTCCCCCATCTGTCGGTGAACATCCGCTCCATCTTGTAAACTAAACATCCTTCACTCCTACTCCTTTTCCCACTCATGGAGTCAGGAGAGGAGCTACCCATGACTCCCTGTACCAAGAGCCAGAGGACACCACCAGGCTGAGATTTTATTATCTATCTCATCTCCAGAAGACCTTACTTCTATTTCTATCGGAGGTTTCTCTCTGAAAACTTTGACTAAATCCTACTTGCCAGTACATGAAAGCCCAGAGAACATCTATCAATATGCTTGTGAAAAGGAAAGAGAATGAGAAGTCTGTGGTTGCCCTTTCAGAGGATGTGAGGATGTGTGAAGGGTCTATCTGCCTGAAGGTGCAGAGGAAACACCTATACTCCCTGCACTCGTTTTCCAACCTGTTGCCTGCCTGGAGGGGAGGACTTTCAGGCAGGAGCTCTGCTGTCCACCTGGGTGGGCCTGCTTTCGGAGGGCTCTGTTGTCTGTCTACTCCATCCTCAGCTTTCTCTACAGTACAGACCTTGCCTATCCCAGGACTTCTCAGAGGATAGCCTAGTACCTTTTTCCTCATGATCCCTGTTTCTCCCTTGAGCCGCAGGTTTGATTCCTTTTCATCCCGAAGCTTCTTCTCATACTTGGTTTTGATATCTTGGATTTCTCGGTCTTCATCTTCTTCAATCTGTTTCTTGGTCTCTTCAAACTCCCGCAGCTGCTTCCTGACATCTTCCTGTGCCTGGAAAGAGAGAAAGTGAGAAAGAGAAGAGAGGGAGGGGAGAAAGAGAGGAGGGGGAGAGGTAGATAGATAAGTCAGGAGAGAAGGGGTTCAGGACATCTGTGTGCTAAGGAAGCTGGGATGAGATGAAAACATGAAGGCCTATCACAGGAAACGGGAGACCAAGTGTTATTACAGGAATGAGAACTATTATTTAGAAATAGGTCCTTTGACCTTTCCACTTTCTTCCCATCTGTCTATTTCCCTTTCTTTCTCTACTCAGATTAGGCCTCAAGCTCCATCACTTCAATCACCCTCTTACCTACACCGCCATGCCCTATTCTGCCTCTGGTCTTCTTTACACTGACATCTAGGCCTCCTGTATCTTTCCTTCACAGAACTTGTCAGTTGTAATTTTATATTTATATGTGAAATTACTTGATTGTCTCTTCCACTAGATTTAAGTTCCCCACGGATAGAAGCCTCATGTAACATGCTCACCACTGAACATGTACAACAATGTACAACACACACTGGTGCATAGTAGGTGCTCAATAAATATTTGAATGAATGAATGACTCTTTAATTCTGCCCTCATCTCTTTAGCCCAAGGAGTTCTGGTGGTGCCATGGTTAAAACATTGGCCTGTTAACCAAAAGGTCAGTGGCTTGAACCCACCAGCTGCTCTGAGGGAGAAAGATGAGGCAATCTGCTTCAGTAAAGATTTATAGCCTTGGAAACCCCGTGTGGTAGTTCTATTCTGTCCTATAGAGTTGCAATGAGTTGGAATCAACTTGATGGCAGTGAGTTTGGTTTACTGGTCTCCTTAGCGCAGTCAATACTGCCCTTTCTACATCCCAAATTGTTCTTGAATCCATCTACTTCTTTCTATGCCACAGGCACTGCCAGGCCATCCCCATCCCTTGCCTGGCTTGCTGTCCCAACTCCACAACTAACATCCTCTCTGTGGCCATGCTTCCCTCCAGTGCATTCCCATTCTCTAGTCAGAGTGTATCACCCCAACTTAAAAGCTTTCTGTGGTTTACTCTTGTCTTTAGGATAAAGTCTAGACTCTTGAACAAGGTCTACAGTGTTCTTCATGAGTTAGTGCTGCCTTCCCTCTTCACACCTCTCTCAAGCTCTTGTAATAATTTTACTTCCCCAACTGTGCAGGTTCTGCTGGATGTGCACAGCTGTTCCCCATCCTCAGCCCTCTTCATGTAGCTGTCTCCTCTTCTTTCTTCAGCTCTTAGCTATCATTTCCTACGGTAAGTCTGCATGTCCCTGACCACTAGACAACTGCTTGTTCCACAGATTCTTCTACCAGCCTGTAAGCTCTTTGATGCAGGGACTATGGCTCTTTGTTCACCACTGTGAACACCCAGATAGTATGTGGAATATAACTGGTGCTGAGTGGGTAAAAGTCTAGAGCCTAGAGGCTGGAAAAACTAGCTCCATCTGGTGGAGTTTGGGAAGTGACTATGATATTACTCTCCTTTGCATATTGCTCCCACATAATAGTTATTTTAGATTATATCTGAATCAATTACTCTCCTCTCATACTGACTGTGGGATTTTTCCGAGGCTGCATGTATCATCTGTGCACTGAGTGTTTGGGGTTGGGATTGGAGGTGTTAAGAGAGACAAGACGGTTTTAAAACTGGCTCACTTGTCTCCTGAGAAAGGCTTTTCTCTATCCTATCATGTTTCACCAGACTCTTGCCAGACAGAAACTTGGTATGGCCCAAAATGTCTAGCAAACTCCTGTTCTTGGTCTTGTAGATGTTGCTGAAAAGTAAAAGAAGCCTGGCCAGGTTAGCAAGATGGCACACTAGGGGGATGGTCCCTAGGAAAGTTCTGAGTTTAAACCTTGTTACATATCACTATTGACTCAAAAGAATAAATGCATTATAGTCACTGGGGGAGATCCTGG